GCAGGACATCTCCACTACGATATGGGGTAGAGGCTTTGGTATTCACAGTATGGTCATATATATGCTCATGTGCCAGCAATGCCCCTCTGCCATGTACATTGGCCAAACCAGACAGTACCTCCGCAAAAGAATAAAAGGACACAAATCGGACATCAGGAATGGTAACATACATAAGCCAGTAAGTGAACACTTCAATCTCCCTGGTCATTCTATTACAGATTTAAAAGTCACTATCATTGAACAAAAAAACTTCAGAAACAGACTTCAAAGAGAAACAGCAGAACTAAAATTCATTTGCAAACACCATTAATCTGGGCTTGACTAGGGACTGGGAGTGGCTGGCTCATTACAGAAGCAGCTTTTCCTCTCCTGGAATTGACACCTCCTCATCTATTATTGGGAGTGGACTACATCCACCCAGATTGAATTGGCCCTGTCAACACTGGTTCTCCACTTGCGAAGTAACTCCCTGCTCTCCATGTGTCAGTATATAATGCCTGCATCTGTAACTTTCACTCTATGCATCCGAAGAAGTGAAGTTTTTACTCACGAAAGCTTATACCCAAATAAATCTGTTAGTCTTTAAGGTGCCACCAGACTCCTTGTTGTTTTTGTAGATACAGACTAACACGGCTACCCCCTGATACAGTGTAATTTAACTGCAATATAATTTACCTAACACAAAGTTAGTGGGACACACAAAAGCACTCCAAGACAGATGTAGCTAGAACGCTTGTGATGCTTACTTGCTTTCTGTGGGTATTTCCCATGCAATGTTGCTCCTAAGGGTTACATTTGCAAAACGGTACAACAGAAGTGTGGAAACAAGAGACTCATTAAACAGGAACACAGTCAAGGGAACTCATTTTAAATAACATTCACCCGTGTTAGTAAAAGCATTTAGTTATGCTACTTATTCTTTGCCTCTTAGCTTAGCCAAATAAAACTAGAATAGTCAGCCTCACTTTCTTATTTTCATGTATGAGCACAGTTCTGTTATGTTTGGGAAAAACCAAACACTGTGGTCAGAGGTTTAATTAAAAAGGGGAACTATATTTTGGCTAGTAGTGTGAAAAAACCCAAACATACTTCATACAATAATCCATTACTCTTCCAACCCAAATGAGTGGTTTTACGCTCTTTGTTCGCCTCCTAAAACAGTGTGAAGCACTCTAAATGGCAATAAGAATTTACTGTATTACTATAACGTCCACTGGGTTCAGTTATGTGATTGATTTGGGGGCCATACAAGTTCCCTAATAAGAACTCCCTCCCCTGGGCTGCTTCAATCATCTGATAAACATGACTATCAGGATCTTTCTCAGTAACTTAAAATTAAAGCTTAGTTTTTACCCTACTATAAACCTACATTCTGCTAGTCCCTTCTTCAATTACTTTGAATAGCTGTTCATAGTTAAGATCTGAACAGTGCTTTGAAAACATAAGTGCTATGGAAGTGTCATTTATTACTATGAGTAAATATTGAAAGCTCTTACCTCAATAGAGCTAGCGATGTTCAAACACTCCTCCATTCCAGGTATATCCAGTTGAATAATCCGCAGATCTTTGCATTTTATAATGATGGTGCCCAACGAGCCAACAAACCTGCAGTGAAAGATACAGTATGTTGAACTATGAAGAGAAATAGCCTCTATGGAAGTCCAAATTCCTAGATAAACATACATTAGGGTGACCAGACAGCAAGTGTGAAAAATCAGGACAGGGGTGGTGGGGAGGGGGGGTAATAGGAGCCTATATAAGAAAAAGCCCCAAATGTCAGGACGGTCCCTATAAAATCGGGACATCTGGTCACCCTAATATACACAGGTCTTCCAGCAGCGCAGACGTGCAAAATAAATTATTACTTGTTGGAGCTTTATCTGCTATGCATTCTTTTAGAAAATATGTGCTAGTCAAATCTTTCAGCCAGATATGTTCTTATGTAACTGTGTTACTTGCTAATGTTTTAGGGTAGGAATCTCTTCCCAGTCGGCCTCTATAAAAGAGAAAGTAAGAATTTAATGGTGGCCTAGGGAAAAAAATGGGTGTGCCCTTTTTTTGCTTCTGGTGGTGGTGCGGGGGTATGTATGTGTTGAGGGAGACAGAGGGTTAAAGGGTTTCTTCCTGTTTTCTAATGTTTAGAAAAACAAACCACCCCCACATCTCATGTATTTCAAGTATGATATTTCCTGATGTTGCTAGAGGATGCAGACTGGGAGCTCTCCGATCTACTAACTGAATGCACACAAGTGTTGAATCGAACAGATTTTTTTTTATACGTTTGAGTTAATAAAGGTTAATAAAAAAGACAAAAATGTTTCAATCTGACTAAAAACTACTTCCCCCCTCAATTAAACAGGTTTCACTGTCTTGATAGTCTACAAAGTTATAACTGTGCTAGGGTCTCCAGTCCTCAGTCTTCCAGGAATAAGATGTACACAAGCCCTTAATATTTAATATAAAAACACGCAGACAAAAGGTACCTATTAAAAAAGCCTCAGGTGTTCCTTATGCAGCAGAAAGAAGTGTACATTTTGAATAAAT